GGATGGATGGATGGATGGATGGATGGAACCATTATGATCATTATTTTCTACATTTGTAGTCTAGCTCAAACAAACTGCTGGACTGGATATAATTAACAACAAATGAATCTCTTTAGGTTACAAAACTTCACGTCAAATATTCAGAACAGGTGCAGAGCTGTGCCACTGTGTCACTGGTCGATGAGCCATATTTCCAGTTGCATAAGCAGAAAGGCAGATTACACAAACGAATGGGAAGTGGATGGTTAATATGAAATCCTGCATTGAGACTCACGTGTAGCTGCAGCGTCAAAGTAAAGTGGGAATGCAAGTCCTGATCTACAAACTGTGATCTATTTATGCTGAATGTGTGTTTGTGTGAGTGTAGACAATGTGTATGTGTGTGTGTGCGTTTGTGCTTACAGGAAAGCCTTTTGTGTGGTTACAATAGAATATCAATGCACTTTTAAGAGGATTATGTGAAGTGCACAGTAAAAAGCGACCATGTTCTCGACCGCTTAGACCTCTCTGCCTATAATACACACAGAACTATGCAGATGTTTTTAGGCATCCCAGTTTCTGAAAATATTTGCTTCTAAGAAGAAATCCATCATGTGTTTTAGAGGTCTTCTCCAGATTTCTGTTTTACTTTTGATTGCTTGTCCACTCATATTCAGAGCCGTTACTGATTTTAGAAGACTGTCTTTTAAGTGTTTGTTAAACCTGTTAAATCTGTCCCATACACTGAGGCGTGAAAATGTTCCACCTCTTCAGAGATGCGTCTATACAACATAGACAAGTTTCCACGGAACCAATTTTCAAACATATTGTTGCAAAGGCACCATTTCTTTTAATTTATTTAGCTGAATTTGGTAAAAAAAAAATATCCCAATATGTTTATTTATTGCAATCATTTCATTGTTCCAACATTCATCATCTGATTTTGTGCTTAAGGGCCATTTGCACACGAAAGGTTATGTGTCATGAAGTTGTTGTTGCGCTTTTGCTCAAGATTAATCATCACAGCTACATAAAAACAACATTTATTCTTACACCAAAGCAAGAGCCAAAGTGGAAAGAAATGATCACTGATTTAATTTGCTTGTTGGTTTGCGAAATTAAATAAATAATTAAATAAATAAAAAAAACTACTGAAAAGGGTTGATAAAATGTAATAAGTGCAATCTAGAAGAAGTATGACTATTTTGTTCCAAACTTTAGCTCTATAACTGCAAAATAAAGCATTAATTTTAGACATCAACCATGTTTGTCGGCACCTTAACGTCTTCACAAAGCTCTGCCTCTATTTTTGTACTGTCTACATTAACTCCAGGCCCTGACCTGATGATGGATTCTACAAAACCTTAACTTGGCAGTTTGCATCAAATCTAATTATGCATCACAGACGTTCATGTTCTGATCATGCTTTGTAACCTGCAGCTGTCCAACCTCGATGATCTTTAATCATAAAATTATCTTCTATACAAAAGGGATGAGAAACATGTTGTTTAGAAAAAGAGAAACTCAAGACCAGAAATCCTCAGTCTAACAGTGACTAACACGACTCTTCATCAAGTCATGTCACACAGATGTGCGCACCACATCTATCTTTCTGCGTGTGTGTGTGTGTGTGTAGGTGTGTGTGTGTGTGTAGGTGTGTGCGCGCGCGTGTGTGTGTGTGTGTACTTGTTTATCTATTCTTCTTAGGACCTTTTCTGGCATATTTACCAACCCTCTGAAGACCGATGGGCCGCATGGGGACCAAAGAATGGTCCTATAGCCCTGTTCAGGGTAAGAGGACAGGTTTAGAGGTATGATGTGAATTAAGTTTTAGTTAAGGTTAGCTTTAGGAATAGACTAGTAATGGTTAGGGTTAGGGAAAATAGAAGCAGTTTTCAAGTCTTAGCCATAAATGCAGTAACTAAAATGAATGGAAGTCAATGCAAAGTCCTAATGTGGGTAGAAATCCAAACTTGTGTGTGAGTGTGTGTGTGTCTACACACACAGAGGCACAAGGACACAGATGGCCTCTGCCCAAGGCCTCTTACTAACACATGCGCACGCGATTGCAGTTAACCCAAATATCTGTGCTTTCTCCTCCATCCACATTTGGTTCTCTTGAAAAGAGCGAGAACAAAGAATTCAGACATGAAAAAAAAAAAGAGAAGAAACGCCTTAAGGCCTCTTCATGCCGCATGATTCTGCAGCCAGGACGACAAGTTGTTACTAGGTCGGCTTGGTTGGGTTTGCTCACTTACGATCTTGACTCGGTGTCCTGGCGTGGCAGTGATGTCCCAGGTGCACTCCTTACGGCTGGGGTACTTGTCGGGCCAGTTGGGGCTGCTCAGGGTCCCGCTGGGGCTGTGGATCTTATGCTCGCACTCAGCTGGACACACACAGAAACACGAGAGCACACACAGGAAGGAAGGAAGTGAAAATCGTGGCTGCACAGGAAAAGGTCAGAGGAAATAGAAAGGGAACATGAAGAAGAGAAACACGAGAACCGAACGAGGGGAAAAAAGGGATTTCAAAGGAGAACATCCTGGTCACAAGTTCAGGGTGAAGTTTGAAGGAAAGCAGGCGCACATGTACAGCACAAGCTGCCTGCTGCTGCACTAAACATGGTTGATTTGGATGTTTGCGGTTCAAATCCAAGAGCTGGATTAGGAATAAAAAAAAAAATGTCAGATTGCTGAGTCAAAGACAGACTCAAACCCTGCATGTGGAGGCACTTACCAGTCACCTAGTGATGCTGTCAGTAAATCAGAGCGAGGCTGTTTCATTTGACACAAACATGATGTCCAGAAACCTAAAAGGAACTAAATATATTAAATCTGTTAACCTTTTTGTTTTTTGATTGATTGACTGATGTTATTTAAATGGAACAGTGCAGATTAATTAATGTTGTCATAAACGTAGCAAAATGCTAATTTCCATTCATAATTCCATAAACGAAAGAAGATATAAACATTCATACAATTTCACACATAACAATAAGAAATACAGCAACAACAAATAAAAACTAGATATATAGAGTCAGGACAAACTATTTTACACATAATGCCACAAACTGAAGTAAATTCATCTGGGATTTTATGTTGTAGACCAACACAATGTATCTGAAAAGTGTGGTGTGCACTGGGATTCAGATCCCTGGGTCTATACTTTTTTGACCTGCTTAGAACTTCTAGAAATGTTAGCTCTATTCTTTGCAAAATACTTCTAGGTCAGTGAGATTGCACTGTGAGCTTCAATGATCAGTAGTTTTCAAGCCTTCCACAGATTCTCATGTTTTGTTATGTCATAACTCTGGAGCTTTCTCCATCCCCCCCTTTTTCTGACTGATGAAGAACGATAATTGTTCTTCAGCAGCACGGTGTTAAAAGACGTAGTGTACCTGTGCTCCCAGTCTAATTCTGCTTCTTCTACTCAAAACATCGAGTGAAGAAAGAAAGAAAAAAAATCTCCTGATCCAATTGTTCAGGAAGCTTAACTTCTTTGTTACGTCATGGACTTTTACTGAGCAGATCACCTTTGGTTTTGACAGCACATGTATACAGGCAGAGTTTATTTATTTATTTTATTTATTTATTTATTTCGAACATGATAGCAGTATAAAATAACGCAAAAGACATATTTTTTCGTACCACAATAATCTTAACATGCTCCAAAAGGAGTAGGAAGAAGTAAGAAACTTATGAACTCCTACCCCATAAATTCATACCATGTTTTCAGATGGATCCTCAATAATAAATCAGAAAAATTAAAAGAGAATATAGGTTAATTAATTGTCTATTTTATCAGTTTTTTTCTGTGTTGTTTTTTTTTTCCATGGACTCACCAAACACACATATGTCTAAGTATATTCACTCATGCAGCCATACCCACACACACTGTTACAATGGTCTGGTTAAGAATACAACCAGATCTTTGACATGCATACGTGAAAATGTGAATCGTCTCTTCTGATGCCCTTAAGCACTAATGCAGTGCTTTATGTGTACAACTGCAGATCTGACTGCAAGGCTGCAGGGCCACACTGGTTTAGTGAACATATAAACACACATGTGCTTCATGTCGACAATCAGGACAACAATGCAACATGCAAAGCTTTGGAGTCCCCAGATGCTGGAAACGTGACACTCTTTATGAGAAACCTGGGGAGCCTCAGTGAGTCGTTCATACAGACACTGATGTAGTGTTTGTTGGTGTGCGTGTGCAAAAGTTGACTTTGAAAAGCTTTGAGGTTTTTAATTACTGTGGGAATGCTTGAGAGGTCAGTCAGTTTAAAAAATCTGGTTTGAATAACACCAATCCCTGGATGCTACATAATACTTATGGTTCTGAACCATAATAACGCTGTAATTTTCTAATTTTCCTTTGTTATGCCCTGTTGCTCTTTCATCTTTTATCACTTTTCAACCGAGTACAAATCAAGCAGAAAACTTGATACAAGATCTGAGTCTCAACTTCTTTGGATAATTTAAGGGCACGTTTGGGACAAGTGAACCCAGGCACGGTTACTGTGAAGCGGTTGTTTAAGAAAAGTTCAGATGAAGCCACAAGCCAAAGACACCAAATCTCCGGTGCGCTGGCATACATTCAAAGTAATAACAGTCGTAAAGTCTTTACAGTAAGTTCCAGGTTTTTACAAAGAAGGCCTTGTGGAGCGAGATATCTGAGACAAATCCAAATTAAATCTGAAGTGGTGGTGCGAGGCAGGCTGCTGGTTCTGTTCTAAAAGTCCAGATCAAATGAACACGATGACAGCAAAGAGGAACTTTAAATGATTCCATAAAAGGCACCTGGACTGGCTTTCTTAGAAGTTCTTAGAAGTATAATTATTATGGTTCATTTTGATCGTTATGTGTATCATCTGGGCAGAGAGATAACCTGTGATCCTTCACTCATTGATTTAGAGTGAAGACAAAGAACAATGGCTGATGACTACTGGTTGAACTCTTGAAGTTAAGGCAGTCAGATTATGAGAGATTATATCATCCATTATGGTTTCTAACTGCGAGGCCAGTGCCTTTGCACAGATTTCTACGTTACTTAAGGAGGAAATGGATCAATGTGAATCACAGTTTGAGTAAAAAAATAATGGATGCCTCTGTTAACAATCGTTAAACAGAGATTAACAAACATTAATCATGTTAATTTTGAGATTTCTGGAATAAAGAGGCGGTCAAATTTTCTTTAAAAAATTTGAAAGTTTGCGGAACAATGTTTCTAAAGCATGTATACTCCTAGATAATTTTCTATCTCCCTCTTTGAAGAGTTTTTTTTTTTTCCTCAGTAGTTATGTTTGATTTGTTGATGGGAAGCATCTCAGTGTTCTGGTGTGGAGAGCATTGTCCACACACTGATGGAACTGATGTCCTCTCAGTGTGACACAGAGCAATCAACCCTGCAGGACTCCTTCAGCTTCCTTTCTCACAGTTATTGTCTTTACAGGTTGTCTGTGAATAAAGGGTTTGCAGCAGAGAAATGGCTCAGAAAATCACAGCCAGGTGAATCCACTGATAACCAAACTACTAATACGGATAATTTGACCCCTTGATGGCTGCCAGTCAGTGTTCTAGTCTTTACCCAGACTCTGGATGACGAACTTCTGAGCCTCCTCCCTCGGGCGAATTAAAGATGAGCATGTTGTCCTTGTGGGTCATTCTCAGGTTTGTGGAATACAGCTGACTTTTTTCTGAAACGGGACTTGTTTTACACAATGGAATACTGCTCCTTTCTTTGCTGCGGTCTTGACAGATCCTTCTTGTGACTCATTGGTATTGCAAATTGTGATCCCTAGCTCAGCGAAGAACAGCCTCTTCTTGCTGAAATCTGGGAAAGCAGACCATTAAGACACAAGGGAATTTGTGCTGACTGGATCGGAGGGTTGGAGACCGCTGTGCCCTCTCCAGCTCAAAACACCAGAAATGAACTCGATTGGGTCTGCGCCATCCTCAGCTCTGTCAGTGATCTTTTATATGCAGAGGCTGCTTCTATCTGAGCACTTCTCAAGGTCGTCAAGTGAGTCCAAAGGAGAGATATTTCAAACTTTCAGCATGTTAATGGAGGAGTCAACTGCGAGTAGACATTCAATCACAGACTTCACAGAGGAGAGGCTCTTTTGTAGGGAGTCCACTGTTGTTTTCAACAAGTCTACCGAAGCTCGTAGAGGTTTTATGGAGTCTTGATGGGAACTGCCCGGTGCTTTTTGAACTCTGCAGCTAGCCGAATCATAACGACTGCTGTGGCTGCAGTTTCTTCGGATGGGTTCACTGGCAGAGACGAGTTAGCCTCGAAGGAAGCTAGCTTTCCTGTTACGCTGGTAGCCACTCATGTTGCTGGGATTTGCTAACTTATCTGTTATTCATTTTGCACAGATATCCTTTAGATCAGTGTTTGCACTGCAAGTGAGATAAAATTTGAATAAAAAGGTTAAACCTCCTTCATCTTACATCCAAACTCTGAAGTCTCCTTTGGGTCTAATTTATTTCATGAACGTGTGGGAACGACCCTTTAATCTCTCGTCCTTAGGCCTAAATTACCCATGAACATTTGATAACTATCTTTCGTTCTTTAGAGTTGGAATTTTAAACTCAAGTTTCTGCTGAGTGTAACTTCTAGTGTAAAAAGAGTTTGAGTGATTGGTATACCAAGAAAAGTATTTGTTCATGCACATTAAGAATATGTGCATGAACTAACACTAATTGCTACGTACACTATATACACTACTATATACTGTCAGTAGTGTATATAGGATGCATAAAAATTCAAATTGGGTCCGATGTGGATTAAGAACCACCAAGGGAAACTATCTATCTAGACAGAGACTCACTAAGGCAGTGAAAAAGCTAATAATGTAGCATTTACTTGAAATGTAACAGGTAAATTGTCTATATAGATCAGCTTAACATTTTCTGTTGACATTTTCAGATGTGGATCCTAGGTTTGAAATTTCTCATTTTCATGACCAAAAGTGTCATCAGCATGCACATGCATCCCGGACATTCTCACTCCGGTGTGTGAACACGTGGGTGCAAGTGGAACCCACCTTCTTTACAGTCATGTTTGTTCTCATGCAGCACAAAGCCGTGGCGACACTGACAGACGTACGAGCCCACCGTGTTGATGCACTCGTGCTGGCAGCCGCCGTTGTCCTTGCTGCATTCATCTTTGTCTGTGAGAGACACACATGCAGCACGTCACTCATGTGGAAATAACAGAGACAAAGTGGAAGGGATAAAGGGAAGTGGGAGGGGAAAGAAAACGGATGGTGAAAGAAAAAAAATGCCCCAAAGGACATGCGGGGTGTGGGGGATGAGATGGGAGGAACCAATGCAAGCAGGTCAGGTGATGTAAGGGAAGGTGACAGAAGTGGTGAAAACATGAACATGCACAGACAGAACATTATTTGGCTTTCAAGCAAACATTTCAACATAAGGCACAAAATTTAAAACAAAAGGACAGATCCCAGCTTTAAACATTTCATGTAGCCCAAAATATGACTAAAATAACTCTCTAAAACTTTACAAAATAAATAATGAAAAGACTAATACAAGTACATCTGAAAAAAAAGTGAATATTGTGTAAACGTACAATGCTTCCTGCGAGTCAACTCATGATTTTACAAGGATTCATTACATAGAGTTAAATATTTCAAGCTTTTATTTTTATTTTTTGCAGTTTCAAAGACTGAAGAAAATTAGAATATCACATTAGGATTTCTTCTAATGCCTTGCATATTTTAGATGTGTCTCTGCTCCAGCACACAAGCGTGTATGATCCTTTTTCCATATTGCAGTAATTACACTATGAAATTGCTCACATGCGGTTTTGTAGATGTGTGTGAGCTGTCAAACCGAACCAGTGTCAACCTCCCAGTGAGTGAAAATAAAAGCGGTGAACAGTTCATTGGATCTGTTTCTAACATATATACATGAACATTTGTTGTACATATTTTTTTCTAAATATTTAACTGAAATATTTGGAAACCTTTGGACTCTGCAGACTTTTAAACAGAAACCAAAACCAGAGTTGTAGTGCTGTTAACCTCTTGACCGCCTTGCTGACGACAAAGCCGTTCAGAGGAACTGGAGTCTGCAGGGAGCAGAGGGTGGAAGATCTGATCTGCGTGGAGCTGCCATGTTGACAGATGCACAGGATAACCCCACGACTAAAATAACAAGTGTTGTGATGTTTTCATGCCTGGAAGCAAGACTCCCTACAAAGAGGTGTAAGATTAGACACAGATGATGACTCTTAACCCAACTCAGCTAGATCTGATTTTAATGAAACCACTAAATCCTAGTCTGTGTGTGTGTGTGTGTGTGTGTGTGTGTGTGTGCATGTGCACGTGTGTTTGTGTCTGATGTGGTATTACAGTTTCTATTGTGGGCTCAGTCACACCCTATCACTGACTAAGAAGCTTTGCAGCCGATGTTGCACGGCGCTCATTGTAGCCGTCTTCAGGTCAAGCACAAAATGTCCGCATGCACACATGGATTAGTGGTGTTTGGGAGGCAGAGGGGACCTCCCTAAAGCCGCTGGCTGTTTGCCAACCAAAACGTATCCCTGGAAGGTGCAAATAAGAGTGGGCTATCTGTTCACCAGGAACTTCTCCACAGTGCCAAGTTGCAAATTCTAGAGGCTCTGCAGGCAGTTGGAGTTTTAAAAGTTTATCTGCGAGGGAGCGTGAACCAACATCTCATAAAGAGGATGGTCAGGGTTGGACACAGGGAGGTCTATAGAAAGAAGGTGGTGCCTTTTATTTATTTATTTTTTTTACAATGCAAAGTGTGAGGCTTATTTCTGAATTTAAAAAACTATATTACCAGTGCCCCACATTTTTGCAAGTTTGTCTTACAAGACTCTCCCTTACTCCCTAAAAACACGTGAAGTGGTGTGGCGTGGCGTGACGAGGCGTGACATAGTGTGGCGTGACATAGTGTGGCGTGGCGTGGCGTGGCGCGCCCCACCATGCGTGGCTCTTTCCTTCAGACTAGCAGCAGCAATTAGCAGACAGTGCTAACTGCTGGTGGAACTGCGAGTCTGCTGAGCTCATCATACAAACTACATCTCAGTGCAACGCTCCTAAGAGCAGTTGTAACGGTTGTTGTGGTGACTTCCTGAAGGCAGAGTGTTGGAAAGAGCAGGAGCTTCTTAAGGAGACAGAGGCTCAATTTCAAGGCATTAAATTGCGCAGTCGAATTTCCTTTAAGCTATGTGTCACATATACAGCAATTTATAACAGCTGAAGATTGTGCTATAAAACTACAAGCCTGGAAAATACATAACACCAGCATGTCACTGAATCAGACTTGAGAACTTTTAGTTTGGAGGTAAAAGCACTCAGTCAGAAAAATTCAGTCAATTTCAAAGCTTTCTGTAGCAAGTTTTAGGTTAAAGCAGCAGAGTGAATGAAACCTTTCTTACCGAGCTCAGTCCAAGCAAAAGAGACAGAAAGAAGCAGCAAGTAGCACAAATAAAAAGGTTTGTCCTGTTTAAACCTCAGACATTTGCTGTGGTGTGCTCCTGACAGTTGAAGTGAGCATGAGCACCATGGTGAGGACCCAAGAGCTGTCTGAGGCATTTCAGGTGGAAAACTGAAGCAGATTATGAGTCTAGTGAGGGATTTAAAAAGGTCCTTAAAGAATTTATGACCAGATGTTCCACTGAATGAAATCAGTCTAGGAGAGGAGAACGTTCAGAGCTGCTGCCGGAGTGCCTTGGTCTGGCCTCCCAATGTTAACGGGTGGAATGATTTCATGCTGATAACACCAGGTTATAAAACATATCTTTAGGAAGTTGTTTATATTTTTTCAACTGAATTAGGATTATTTTGCACTGCTGAATCAAAAAAATGACATCTATTTTTTTCAATCAGGTCAGGTTTTTATTCTAATTTGATTTAGAGAGTGACATTATCAGTTCATTTCTGTTAATATTTCTAATCCAAAAAAGGTTTTAGGAAAAAACAATTGTTTTCTAACAGAGTTTATAAAATAAATGTTACTTTTGTAAATTGAATATGCACTGATAAGGGTAAGTACATGTGAATTGAACACTTCGTCTTCATTATGTAAAATTCTCCGTCTCTTTTCTGTCCTGATGGAATCTCTCCTCCTTCTCATCACTCATTGATCAGATTCTCAGGAAACCGATACATAAGTGAGAACAAGTCCTGCATTTTGATGCTCAATCTGCCAAAGACACACTCGTGCTCAAGTTTTACCTGAAAAGAAGTGAGCTTTGAAGCCTTTCTTGGAAACCGTGTTGTCCGACTTGAACTCAATCCTCATGTTGTTGTACTGAGAGGTGATGACCTCTGGGACCTCTGTGCCGCAGTATTTCCCGTGCAGCTTAGAGTCGGACGAGAGGCCGCTCCGCACCTCCACGTAATCATATTTACAAACCTAAACACACACGAGGATCGCGTTAGGGTCTTAAAGCGCTGATGAAGAAGGAATCGTTAACGTGTTGCTAAAAGCCCTGCGGCCGGCCGAGCTGCACGCTAACACCCGGACATGGTTACCTCGTTGCCCTCCAGCTCGAAAGCCTCAAACTGCATGGAAATGCGGTACTGAGTGGGGGCCACCACCTGCCACACACAGTTCTTGTTGGGTGGATATTCCTTAGGCCAACCAGGAGTGCTGATGGTTCCATTCAGCTTGGACAGAAGACCGCCACAGGCAGCTGAAAACACACAGATGTAAACAAGTCAGGCCCAGCAACGAGCAACATGGTTGTACATGAAACGCACTGAGGGTATACTGACGTTACAGTGATTTCCCCTGTTTAGTCCAGTTAGATTTTTCTACATTTAATCCCAAGAACAAAGCAAACAAGTCAAAGTTAACACCATCATCCCACAATAACTGATCCAGAAGCTGGAGAGGTTGGGCTTGTACACGTCTCTCTGTGATTGGCTACTGGACCACAAGCAGTCCGGCTTGGCAGCACTACATCCAGTACCACCACACTGAGCATGGGGGTACCCCAAGGGTGTGTGCTCAGTCCTCTGATGTTCATGACTGCACATCCCAGCACAGCAGCAACCTCTATCAGGTTTGCAGTTGACACAATTATGGTGGGCCTGGTCAAAAACAGAGACAGACTACAGGAAAGAGGCGACTCAGCTGCCATGTTGGTCACTGGAACAGCAGGATTTAATCTCAATCAGAGCTGCCTCTCTTTTTCCTTTTCCTTCCTTCAAACATCAAATTTCACCTTCTATACTGCCTCAAAAAAACTGGGGGGATTTTTTTTCTTTTCCTTTTTAAAAGATAAATCATAACATTTGTGCTTAGAGTTGCTAAAAATGACCCGTACTATAAAGTTTCTAGTTTTATTGTCATTAACAGGTAGAATTCAAACAATGAATGCAATTGATTTGTGACTAAGTTTTAACATACAGGTGGCTCAAAATTATTCATACCCCTGGCAGGCTTAGGTTTACAGTACCTTTTGATTTTAAAAACAATAAGTTGCTCTCTGTGGCTGAAGAGATGTTTGTGAATGCAAAAATACTGAATGAATTTACAAGGAAAACTAACAAAAGAAGTTAAGAGAGAAAGCTCAAAGGTAAGACAAATCCTCTGGAGAACGACAGAAAACACCAGGAAGCAGCTCACTAAAAATCATCATGATGTTCGCTTAAACTTTGCCAAAAAAACCCCCAATAAAAAGTCATAACAGCATTTCTTCCTTCTGTTTCAAAATGGCAGGAAGAAAACAAGATGGAGGGGTGGTTAGAGACTGACACCTGACCCGAAGCAGAACGCATCGTCTGTTCAGCTCCATGGTAGCTGTGTGCTGCTTCAGACTGGAATGATTCCCAACAGCCTCGGTCTCCAGTGTTTACTGATGATGTGACAGAAGATGTAAACGGCTAAAAGAATTCAGAAGTGGACGCTCGCAGCCACTTCAGACTGCGCTGTATAAAACTTTTTATAGTCTTTCAATGTGAAGAAAAAAAAAAAAACAAACGTGAAGAAAAAAAAAACACTTCACAAATCACATTCAACCTTCCATAGAAGAACAACCTGCAAAAACAAACTAGTGAAGAAAATTTCCAATGGAAATTCAATCAACTTGCATTTCTAGTGTCTACCACAGGCAGAAGCCGAGAGAGCTTGATGTTTTCACTGGTTATCTGTCTCATGTAAAACTGTCATGGCATGGTGACGTTTTAATATATATATGTAAAAGAACAATTTCTTAAATAAAAGTTACGTACTGCCACTTTAACCGTTTCTGTGCAGTTTAAATGTGTGTCAAAGGCACATATGTGTAGCACAAAATGAAGAACATTCAACGGATTGCAAATTAAATTTGAAAGCTTTTTACTTTAAGCTAAGTTGGTCAGAGTACATGCGTACAAAGAAAGAAAGTGTCATTATCAAATCATCAAGTTTGACAGGAGTCATATTAAATGTTGTTTTGACTGACTCTGTTTAACCAATTCCTTATAATACGTTGTCACTTTAAGTACTTTAAACATGCAAATATAATCCTGAAAGAAAGTTTTCCCAGAAGTAATTATACAGCTGAAATATTTAAAATGCACCATTTTCTCTGTTGAATGATATTTGTTTGGTTCTTTTAGCAGATGGTCTACATCGTGGGAATAAAAGCCCTTTTCCCTGTTTGATTTGTCTTGCGTGTTTTTTCCTGTTGATGGAAGCTGTTTGGATGTTTCTGAGTCAAACTGGCATAAAACACAAAACACTGTGAACAAGAATGAACATTCTCAGTCCCTCATACACACACACCACCCACACACACGCACGCACATTTTATGTTTTTCTAACTTCAAAGGACTTTGCAGTGACTTCCATTCATTTTTCATTCATCTCCACAGCCTAACTGCCTGACTCTGACTCGTACCCCAAACTGAACCATTATCAGTACATGCTTGACTCTAAACCTAACATAAACTCAATTCACATCATAAAAGTCCTAAACATAACCCCCAAAACTAGCAATGGGTCCTCACAACATAATATTTGTTGGAAAAATGAGCCTTATGATCTTAGAAATGCTGAAACACACACTCATTGTTACCTTCACAGCTCTTCTTGTCAGGAGCCAGTTCGTAGCCAGGGTCACAGGCACACTTGAAGCTGCCAAGAGTGTTTACACACCTCTGCTCGCATCCACCATTGTCTGGCTTGGCACACTCATCTTCCTCTGGAACACACATGAGTCAAAATTCATGTGAAAAGCCTTGGAGAGAAAAGCCACACGGGAAAAAACAACTAACAGGTACAGCGAGAAAAGAAGTTTCACCGTAAATTCATTAAATACAGCAAGACTTGTGTTGGCATTATTGATGAGTACTTTTAAAGGACAATAAATAAATACATTAAAAGAAATTGAAGAGAAAAACACTCACTGACCGCCTTTATTGAGCTCCCTCACCTTTGAAGAAGTTGGCAGCAAAGCCAGCCTTGTTCACCGTCCCGTCAGAGACAAACTTCATCCACAGAGTGTGAGAGGTGGAGCGAACGTCTTCAGGTTTGTCGTAGCCACAGAAACGGCCAATCAGCGGGCTCGTTTCAAGCGGGCCGTCCCGAACCTCCAGGTAGTCATAGGCGCAGCTGTCGTGCCTCTCGATCTACAACAGTCACAGTCACACGCACACACACACACACGTGTTCAGTGAGACTCTTGGAGTGTCACAGTCATCATCAGTGCCCCGTTTAACCGTTGTGCATGCGAGGACTGAGGCAAACGTAGAGGTCTATGGAAAATGATACAGGTTTTATGTGTGTGGGGTCAGTTGGACCCCATTTCGACATACAAGGGTTAATAGCTGATATGGCTCAAACTTCCTACCTTATTTGCTTTATATAGATTAATCATTGCTGTTAAATGTAAAAAATACTTGCAGTTTTTATGATTGGAAGGGAGAAAAACCAAGGAGTGTCTGTAAAAGAACTGCTGAGAGCATTTATGTAAAATGACCAACTCTGAAGTAAAAGGTGCCACATAATTATTCTCCACAGTTAGCCCAATCCTGACAGCAAATAACAATCTGTAGTTTTCTACACCTGTAAGGAGTGAAGTGTAACACATTGCACTTCAGTCCTTATAGATGTAGGAGTGAAGTGCAATGTGTTTCACAGTTTCACACTGTGTCACTCGTTACGCTGCAGCATGTCTCAGAAAGCCAAAGTATCTTTTCTAGCCAAGTTTTCCCACTTTTCTTTTCAAAGTTAAATTCAATTTTCACATTACTGGCTGCATTTCCTCTATTCATACAATTGCGCAAATTGAAATGATGAAGATACATTTACTTAATGGAAACATGCTAATTTTGAAAAAGCTCACTTAAACAGCTTCAGTTGTATTGAAATTGATGTATTTCACAAAACTACAATGGCAACACTTTTTTCACATTACAAGTGATCAACAGCCGGATGTTGCTACTGGAGAAAATAATGAAGAAGACGACAGGAAGTGGTAGGAGGATGGTGGTTTTGTTTTTGTTTTTTCCAGACAATGTGCAGCTGGCTTCTCCAGAGCTCTCACAGCATCACAGTTCATAAAAAGTTGTGCCATTCCAACGTGTTGAAGTCAAAACTCTTCTGTAAAATCTCCAATTACAGTTTTCCCAAAACACCGCATACAAGGCGGGGCTTGTTGCTCCAACTCCTGAATAAGACGTCACTGTTTCCTCTCATGGATGATAGATGATGAGCACCAGCATCATGACTGACTTATGATATGTATTGTGTAACTGTGATTTTCAATGACTTATCGTGTGACTTAGCTTATTAACATGTGATTTTGATTTCATTTCTTATTTAATGGAAGCACCAAGATTTGCTCACATTTGTAATGGAAACAGCTACTGACACAATCAGGACTTTACAAGTGGATCTACCCTAAAGCAAACAAGTGTGGGAGGGGCTTGTTTCAAACTAAATATGGCTGCAGGAAAGTCAGGACTACACAGCTAATTCCTATGTGATGTACTGATGAACACTTGTGGACACAAATTTCTCCTTGAGCATTTGTCCATACAATTATTGAAAGTGGTTTAAACAAAGACTAGGTTTTCACATTTTAATGAAGAAAGAACACCGACTTTTGCACATTCACAGCTGTTGTTTGTAAAGCAGAGGAAGTAATTGATGCAACAGAGCAGAGCAGCACACAGCAACAAATATGGAGAGAATAATCTGAACTATGGGATTAAACACCAGATTCACACACAGCATCCGCTGGAACCTTTACTACCTTTCTAGCAACAATACGAGCGTGAAATTTGACCCAGACTTTCCGAGCTCATGCACACAGTGACACACACACACACTTGGAAACATACAAATACACACACACACACACACACAGAGATAGAGAGAGTGGGTCACCTCGAAGGCCTGGAAGCTAAGTCCAACATTGTATCCCTCAGACACAGTGATCCTCCACACACACTCTTTGGAGGGCCTGTAGTCATCAGGGTAGTTGGGAGACTGAATTTGCCCAGAGTCCTTGGTAATTTCCCCTCCACAGATGGCTGAACAGAAAAACAGAGAATCACAGCAGGCAGAGATGGACAGGATGAGTTAGCATCAACCGTTGCTGATTGCAGAGACCTGAAACATTCTCTCTGCACCATGAGTAATGGAGCTAATCTCAAAAATCAGGCATGTTTAATCATCAGACATAAGCCTATGCTGCATACG